GTTTGGGGTTGAGGGTTTGGGGCTTTAGTGTTTGTGGCTTTAGGGTTTTGGGCTTTTGGGCTTTAGGGTTTAGGATTTGGGGCTTTAGGGTTTAGGGTTTAGGGCTTTAGGGCTTTAGAGATTGGGGCGCTGGGCTTTAGGGTTTAGGGTCCCTTGTAAAGGAGCCCTTAAAGACGCCTCAAAAGTGCTTCGTCAAGCGCAGCTTCCCGGACACAGAAGCTCTTTGCCGTGGCCAGGGCTTGCAGTTTGTTCCCCTCGTTGCCGTCCGACTGCGGTCAAAACCTGGTGTGAGCTCGGGGGCCTCTACGCCGCCCGCCTCGGCCTGACGCTGCAGCGGGAGAACGCCCGGACGGTTCCCACCGCCTGCCGGCGAGGAGGGTCGCGGGCCCATCCTAGGCCGGGGCCTTCTCCTGCTAAACCAACGCCAGGAAGCGGACACTTCCTCCTACAGTCGGAAGTCCAGAGTTGCTTGCACGATGGAAGAGTTCCTTCGGCCGCCGAGTGAGAGATGCACGGAGTGCTTTGTCAGGTGGCTGTTCTGCAAGTAGATCCGGAGTAGGCCGAATCGAGCGGGGCGTTTAAAGGGATCCTTTTTGGGTTCTATCAAAATTCGTGTAAGGGTTCCTGCAAGCCGGCCTCAGAAGTAAGCGTGGGTGCATGTCTTGGAGGCAGACCTATCGATCTTTCAGGCTCCGATGGTTTTTTGAACCATCCGATCTGGGGCTTCGGGCTAGCCGGAACCCCGTTGCCACGGCGGGTCTTTTAGGGTAGATTTCGAGTCTTGCGGTCCCCTCTGTTGCCAGAGTTTCGGTTCGAAAAACGGGTTTCTTCTCTTGCTGCTGATGCTGGCGGCAGCATTGACATGCGGATTCTTGCGAGTCCAGTTCCTGTCATAGGCTTGCTTGCCACAATCCAGGAATTTCCGCTTCGGGCTTGACCCTGGATTAGGCCGGTCGCTGATGCAAATCCATGGCCTTGTGCAAACCTTGCATGAACACTCACCTAACCATCGTTTCATCCGGGCTGGAAACTGCCCGGCATCTGTGTAGCGCGCTGCTCCAGCCGCAGCTGCCAAAGTGCTACTGGGGCAAATCTCCGATTTCTTGATCTAGTTCCCGCAATGGATACTACAAGAGTCGCTTTAAAGGATACACAAAAAGGCATGCTAGAATGGGCACTATACGGGCTTCTCTAAGGGGTTTAGGATTCCTGTAAGGTGATGGGTAAGAGTTCTCCAGGGTGTACTGAAGGTTGTCGGGTTTAGGGCTGAGAGTTTTAGGGTTTATGGTTTTCAGGGGTTTAATGGGCCTGGGATTTAGGGTTCTCGTTGGGGTTTTGGGCCTGTTCGGAAGTTCCTTCAAAGGGAACTATGTAGGGTTCCTATAAGTGCTCAATAAGTCTTCTTTCGTGTGGGGTTTTTAGGGTTTAAGGTTTAGGGCTTTAGGGCTTCGGGTTTCGGTTTAGGGTTCTGGCTTTCAGGGCCTCCGCAGAGTTTGGTTTTACCAAGGTTTGGCTAGCGGGCTTTCTAGGAGTTTAGATGGTCGTGCACACGTTTCGGGTGTTATAAGGATTGCACAGGGTGTGCGTCAGGGTGTTTGTCATGGCTCTCATACGAGTCTTAGAGTCTTCTTTTGTCAAAGTGTTGTCACGATGTATAGTGTGCTGTATACGAATGGTGTTGCAGAGCTTTATGATATAGTTAAACAGAGAAACCCTAAATTTATGCGCTTGTGCAGGAGGGTGCCATTCAGATTTGAGGATTTAGCGCGTGTTCTTGCAGCCCTGGCTTAAGCCTAGCTCGGCGGGGAAGGGTGCAGGGCTGTGAAGTTTCAAGTTTAGATCTAGGGTTTATGGTTTAGGGTTTAGGGTTTAGTTTAGATTTAGGGTTTAATGTTGCTCCGCCTGGTTTGGTCATCCGAACCTTAAAGTTTGAACCCCAAAATCCTACTATAGAAGCTTAAAGCATTGCCAATAGTATTTCGGGGATTCCGTATTATAATTATGGTATAATACACCCCAACACCTTTT